TTGACAAAGTTTTCCACCAAACTTCTTTTCATCAAGAGAAATACAATGTACTGAAGTTGGAAAAAGGAAGCATTATATACAACAATATGTTGGTCCAATCAATCACAAGGGCGGATCCAGAATTATTTAAAGGTCGTTCCGCGGGGTTCGGGGCCCCGAGAAATTTTGGTATTTTAGAGGGCGAACGGTGCCATTTTATACTGTTTAGAACTGTGATTCAGCTAGTCAAAATTCTAATTTCAAGAGGGGACCATTGGTGTGTTGTTGTTTTTTTTTCAAAAATCAAATAGGAGGTCAGGACCCCCTGAACCCCCCCCCCCCTTATCCGTCACTGAATCCGTAATTTCTACATATTCTTGGAGATATTCATATCATCATGTTTTTTATCTGCCATGCAGTGAATTAAGTACAAACATCAGTTAAACAAGGCTTTAAAGTCTCGTCTGACTTTTGCTTGTTGTTGAAATTTGTATTATTACGATTGAAACATAAAATGATTGTGGTGACACAATATATTAAATGTAGTAAAACAGCAATATATTTAAATATATATTTAAAACATTCAGTCAGAATAGATACGGGCTGTCACTTTTCCGACAAACAGTTCTTCCAATACATGTTCTTCTAATGACTATACCCCCAGTTCAAAACCGATTCATGTACTAAGTACTGACTCCCACCTTACTTAACAACCATGCTAATTCAAGAGTTTGAAGACAACTTACCACAAGCTTGAGGGTTGCACACCCGCGTGACGATGCTTGAGTCACTACAGCTTCTAGTCTGCAGTCCACCACCACAAGAAGCGGTGCAGGCGCTCCAATCAGATTCACATTGACAGTCACATGACTACAAATGAAAGACACTTGGTTATTCGATGAAAATACTATGTTGATGTACTTTCATTTATAAACCATGTAGGTACACAGACATACATGATACATACACATATACAGACAGACATAAACACACACACACGTACTGATATATCTATTTACTGATCTATTCAAATATATATAATCTCACTCTAGTCCATCATTGCTAAACAGATGCATTTGCCTTTCAAACTGTATTTAAATTATTCACCCATTGCCCACCTGATCTCCAGCACAGAAGACAGCCATTGTAAGCAGAAAATACCATGATCAATATCTGGTAAACATTACCCACCTGATCTCCAGTACAGAAGACAGCCATTGTAAGCAGAAAACACCATGACCAATATCTGGTAAACATTGCCAGTGTCCTTTGATTGTGAAAAAATAATAAAAAAGACATTATATTAATTAAGCAAACTAATGTACGAAAATCTATTATTCAAACTTAAAATACGGACAGTTATCAATGTCAAACCTAACTACCGAAGTCCATAAAATGTGAATTCTTATCCTTACATTTGTTAAATTGTAAGTCATTAACTTTTCAAGGCTTAAAAAGGGACAGTTATGAATATTAAACTTCACTTCCAAATTTTATGAAACTTGAAGAACAAAACGTAGATTTGAAATACAGGTACATCCCTATAGTGTTTCATTACATTTGTTATTTCCATCTAAAGGTAAATGTCTCTGAATCGTGATAATTTGCATACCTGCTGAACAACTAAACGAAAACATGAAATAACGACATTAAGGTAAATTTATAATAATTTCGTCGCGTTTTTGTTTTTCATCCTTTCGACAGTTTGGCCACCTACACCTCGCCAGTAAATTCTGCGTGCTGAATTGAAAACAATTAATTGATCGGCAAACGAAAATGTGCAAACAATGAACTCATGAATGGCTTGAAGTAAGTACAGATATGCTTTACTCACAGTAAGTGTCTTCTTTTGAACTTCAGCAATATTTCTTTTTGAATTCACTTTGTCAGCCTGCTGTGTTGCCTCTTCCTCCGTCTGTGCACAGAGCAACGTCTGGGAATGAGTCACGGACGATCTATGTATAAGCTTTTATACATGACGCAATGTAAAATGCCCTTGTTATCCAATGGCATTGGAAAATGAATCCATAAAACCAGCATCCACACAGTCAGCTGGTCTGACTGCTTAGTAGGTTTTTGTATTTTACAAAATACAACCAATAATGCTAAATGGACAATGGAGCATTTAACCAGAACAAATTATTTCCTTGTTCAGTCTTTTGAATTTGACGTGGGAAATTTAATGCACATCTTTCCCCCCGAACTTTTTTAATATCCATATTATATTCACTCTTTATTATCTGTGTTTATTTTCAATTACATAGTTAACAAGTGAAACAGGTACACTCTGTTATATTGCATCATCCTTTTTTTAACTTCTAAGCTACTGCTTTTATTAGTTCAGTATCTTTGTTACCTTTTTTTCTTTTTGTGGTTTTTTAATTAGGTATAGTACAGTCAGTGGAGTTCATAATTAGGTTTCCTTTCTATTCGGTTTTTAAAACGTTTCGAATATCTTAATCCCATTTTAGTGAATAAAAAGTGGTGGATATTAATCCCTTTAAATTTTAAACGGAATAACACAATAGATTACACGAGTGAACCCTGTGACGCCGGTATCTGCTGTCATTAACAGCAGGATTGCATCAGAAAAGAGGGATTAGAAGATCTTAGCCTTAGCGGTAAAATACCCGGCAAAAGTGCCCGAGGCAGACAACGAAAATCCTTTCTTGACAATTTTGAATTACCAACAAGACGCCTTTGGTCATGAGCGAGAAATAGAACCCTTTGGCAAAATATCATCGTTCGTCAAACACTGAATCGGTGATGGCACATGATGAAGAAGTACAGCAGGATACATCAGCCAAAAGGTCACCATTGTTTGCTGCGACGACATCATAATAACTAGTTACCAATAGTATAATCCATAAAAGGATTTTGATAAAATGTCGTTCATTTTTTAAAGAAATTTCGACTTGCAACATTACAATTTTGTTGTTGAAGACATATCTTTGTAAAAGTGTGCAACCCAAAGCAACAAATTTTCAAACCCAAAATAATTCTGTAGAAACACCTAATGAAATATGAATATAATAAAATCAAATCAAAGCCTATGATCAAAGATTGTCATCTAGATTGAATCATCTATCATTGATATTTCAATCTAAAAGCGTGCAACCCAAAGCATTTATATTCTCTAACCCAAAATAATTATGTGGACACATCCACTGAAATTTTAAGGAAATCAGCTTTGACATCAAAATTGGGTCATTTATTATTGACATATCAATCTAAAAGTGTGCAACCCAAAGCTTTCAAATTCTGTAGCCTGAAAAAAGTCTGTGGTAGCACTATTTGATTGTATCATTTATTATTACCGTTCAGTTAATTAAATTTTGTAATGAAAATCCAAATATAGCAGTTATGTAAAAAGTCTGTGGTAGCACCATCTGATTGTATCATTTATCATTTACGTTCAGTTAATTAAATCTTGTACTGAAAATACAAGTATAGCAGTTATGTAAAGTCTGTGTTAGCACCATCTGATTGTAAAGCATGCCTAGCTACTTATGTTTGCGTGTTCAAATTGCTTTTTAAAGTTCTGCTTCACTACAACTATTTTCACTATCACTGTTTTCTTTTATAATTTTTTCACTACATAAATTATCTAAGCTATTTAAACACTCCCCTCCACATACACAACTTGGCCCACATGTTCTATTTTTCTTCCTACATCCACAACGGTTGCCACACGTGTTGACTACCTTCCTACAACTACACCTACAACTACACCCTTCCATTAAGAAATTAAAATCATCCTGTGCTATTTTATCTACCTCATTTGTTGAGAATTTATATTTGAGTTTCCCTTCTTCTAACTGGTACCCCCCATTCTAACACATCTAAATACTCTATCCTATTTGCCTGCTTGCCCCCACATATGTGCTATATAACAAGTCCTTAACCAATGTAACTCTAAGCTATCTTCTAGTGGTAATACTTGCTCCAAGGATTCTACATCTAACAAAGCCGACCTTACATTACCTAACCAAATAGAAATATTTTCTGAATAACTGAGGTCCTTATTATACAAACTTCTGAAATAACTAATGGGGCTACTGTCTGGGTTCACTGACAAAAAAGCATTGCAGCATTTCCTAAAATAAAGCTAATAGTTCACTTCTGTAGTTCCCTGCACCTACTTCATCAAGAGTTCCTATAGCAATTTTTTCCGGATATAAAGTCAGCATACCTATAAAATACACAGTAGATTGTTTTTTTACCAAATCCCCTGAAAATGAAACATAAGCACACCCAGAACATACAAACAAAACCTGCATAATTTTACCCACCTTTGACCTATCTAACCTACTCAAGTCGGAATCATTAACTATGTAACCATGCAACCTATTAACATTAACATAAATTTCCTCATACAATTTACAACTTATTAAGACTTTTTTTTACCTAGGTACTCTCTGCTATCATACAAACCAAGCCCTATTTCTAGTACATCAGTATCTGGTGATACGATTATCATATTATTTTCTGAACTATTCAGACTGTGAAGCCAGACTAAACTGTCCCCTTCTTCATGATTTGAACTAAAAGCATCCTTCCTAACAGAACCACTGACAGTTAACTTGCATACATCATTAAAACTACCAGCTACATACAACCTAGTACTCCTATGTAAGTGTGACTGTTCACAGTGAAGCTGAAATAAGGTATCACCAAGGTAGGTTATTAGTTTACCCTTGTTAGATCTATTGCTTAAAAAATCATGCCAGAATGCTGGTACCAATATTTACAAAGAAAATTATCCGACTTTTAGCACATTGTTTAGGCTGTGAGGACAAGATCCCTTTGAACGTGTCAGATCTGCAGTCTGTTACGTTAACTGTACTTAAAAACGAGAGACAAAACAAACAGCCCTGTCATTTCCAGCTAATATAATCTAGATTTGAAATTCAATAAATAACTCGAATTATTAATCATTAGTTTATTATCCTCTCTCTTAATATGGTACGTGGCCCTTATTGGATATTTCGACTTTTCGAGTTTTCAACTTTTCGAGTGTTTGCCTTTTCGAGTTTTCAACTTTTTGAGTTTTTGACTTTTCGATTTTTTGACTTTTCGACTTTTTTACCAGTCACATGGCAACTGCCTGCACGTAGTCCTGAAGTTTCGGAACGGAGCGCGTGCGCTGAGATGACGTCGCGGTCGAAATTTTGTAAATTGTGTAACCTTCGCGGAAGTTCAAGAATTGCACTTTATGCCCTGCCAAAGTACCTGGTGGAAATTAAAACATGGTAGCAGAGTTTATTATGTGTATCATCGTGTGTGATTTACCTAGAAGTAAAAAGCAATGATTGAGGTAGATCTCGACGAGGTCGGCCAACTGGTCACTTTTTGGCGTTCATTTCAAAAATATATTTCCATGTAGGATTTGTGTCTTTATTATAAAGAATAAAACTGTAAGGCACTCTTAGTTTTGTTGTACCACTCGATCAATGAGAAAATTACAATTAAAAAAATATGAATTAAAAATACAGTATGTGTAAATACACAATTGTCTGTGATTTTTCATTGAAAAAAACCAAGCACCTAGTCCATTTGATTTTGATATAATGTCGTTCATTTTTTAAAGAAATTTCGACTTGCCCCATTAGGAACAGACAATTTTGTTGTTGAACACATATCTTTGTAAAAGTGTGCAACCCAAGGCAATAAATTTTCAAACCCAAAATAATTCTGTAGAAACACCTAATGAAATATGAATATAATAAAATCAAATCAAAGCCCATGATCAAAGATTGTCATCTACATTGAATCATCTATTATTGATATTTCAATCTAAAAGTGTGCAACCCAAAGCATTTATATTCTCTAACCCAAAATAATTATGTGGACACATCCACTGAAATTTTAAGGAAATCAGCTTTGACATCAAAATTGGGTCATTTATTATTGATATATCAATCTAAATGTGTGCAACCCAAAGCATTCAAATACTGTAGCCTGAAAAAAGTCTGTGGTAGCACCATCTGATTGTATTATTTATTATTACCGTTCAGTTAATTAAATTTTATAATGAAAATCCAAATATAGCAGTTATGTAAAAAGTCTGTGGTAGCACCATCTGATTGTATCATTTATTGTTAACGTTCGGTTAATTAAATTTTGTAATGAATCTCATGTCTTTGCTTTATGCTGATGACATTGTATGCATTTCAGACACTGTTGGGGGGTTACAGAAACAAATTCATCAATTAGAAAAATATTGCAGTCAGTATGGTATGCTAGTAAATGTCCAAAAGACAAAAAAGTAGTATTTAGGAGAGGTGGTAAAATAAAGAAAAATGAAAGGTGGTTTTTCAAGGGCAAAATACTAGAAGCAGTACCTGCATATAAATACTTAGGAACATATTTTGGTGCCTTCCTCGGTTGGGGTAAAACTATCCAACATCAAATCAATCAAGCCAATAAAGCATTATTTGTTGTCAAGTTATATTTGAAAAAACAAGCATTATTTCCTTTAAAGAAGCTTTCTTTCTTTTTGATAGAATGATAACACCCATTCTTTTCTATGGTGCTGAGATATGGGGTCATAAACCAGTAGAAAGTATTGAAATCTTCCAAGCAAAATTTTGTAGATATTTATTAGGTGTTAGTTCAAATACTGTGACGGAAGCTGTACTAGGCGAATGCGGAAGATATCCATTGTATACCAATTATATGGTAAATAGCATTAAGTATTGGTTAAAGCTTGTACATATGAATGAAGATCGCTATCCTGCTCATGTATATGATATACTATTTAAATTAGATTCAAGTGGAAGGCACACTTGGGCCACAGATGTTAAAATGCTGTAATACAGATACGGATTTGGATATGTCTGGGAGGCTCAGGATGTGGGAAATTCTGTTTTATTTATTAAAGTTTTTAGAGAAAGATTAGTAGATAATGCTGGCCAAATATGGCACAACAAAGCATTGCAACGTGAAGGAGTTAAGTACATGACAGTTTTAGATGCCAATCAGGGATATTTTCAACTAGAATTAGATGATAAATCCAAGAACTACACGGCATTTGTTACACCATTTGGCAGATATAGATACAAGAGACTACCTATGGGAATTACGTCAGCACCAGAGTTGTTTATGAGAGCATTTGGAGATATTTTTGGAGACATAGAAGGTCTTGAAATGATAATGGACGATTTCCTGATCATAGACAGTACATTAGAAGAATACAATAAAACATTGAAACAAGTGCTGCAGAGGGCAAAAGAAAACCACATTACATTCAACATTAAGAAAGTACAGTTGTGTAAAGAAGAAGTCAAATACAGCGGGCAGAAATTTACCAAGGATGGACAAGAGATAGATCTAGACAGGATTAGTGCTATCTTAGGCATGCCAGAGCCAGCATCGGTTGAAAATGTGCGTACATTCCTCGGGATGGTGAATTATGTATGCAAGCATGTTAAAAATTTATCAAGTTAACGTTTCAACTGGGAAAGCATATTGCTGCAGGTGAGACGACATTTTAATTATTTTGCATATTTAAAGGTCAACCAGTTCCTACTCGCCACGTTGACTATTTAATAATTCCATGACATCGGGTTTTCATTTCCTCTTGTGTTATGATGTAAGAATGTAGGCCTATATCGTTTTCAAATTTGATTTCTAGCTACGGGACGCAACTTTTCGATCTCAGATGGCTTTCTTTCCTCAAAACGCCAAAGCCTTTGAGAAATGGCCGAAGTGACTGTTTTAGTTAAACACAATTCACTGACAATTTGAATAATAAAGTTTAAACATGTTTATATGCATGCATTTAATTCTGTGGTGCAAAGTGCATGCCAAGGTCAGAAGTAATTGAGGCATGTAAGTTGTTCAAAGATACACTGTATGTGGGATTTTGAACAGTTATATCAAGGACATAAAATTTGTACTTTGTAAAAAAAATTATGAAAATAGGCCTATCACGGAAAAAGATGTCCTGACCTGCCATGCCGTTCTCTCCGAAATGTAACTGTAGACGGTCGTCTGTCCTAATACCAGATGCGAAGAGAGGTCGTTAAAGAAAGCAAACGCAGGAGTCAAAAGGTTTGTCCACTGCCCCCCCCCCTCTCCTCCCTCTATCTCTTTCTCTCTCTCTCTTTCTATCTGTCTCGTCTTTCTTTCAATAAGTGATCACCATTAATTTCCCAAATCATTTAATTAATTTCTGTATAAGATTATATAATTACCAAAGAACCAGATATATCAAGGAAACTAAATACGTGCCGTGTAAAAGCTTGTATAGAAGGTCGCCTGTCCTGGAAAAAATATGAAAATAACAAGGAAAAAAGTCCTGACCCGCCGTGCGTTTTTCTCTCATATCTCACTGATACCAGATGCCCGGCAGTATTTTATTTCGATTATTATGTTTTAATTGCCAGAATCTTGTTTCACAAGCTTACTGGATATTTCATTGTCTCAATGGGGTATATGGGGACTTTACGACATTCGGTTTGAAGGCTTTAACCAGTTTTGATAGGGCTTTTTTGCATTGTATTAGATTAAAGTGGCAGTCTAAGGTTGTTCTAGGTGGTTTTAAAGTTTATGCACCCAGATTTTTAAATAATTTAGTGATTTTACGACAATCGTTTACTATCCAATCAAGGTGACAGCTAGGTGACAGCCAAGCGTGCATGAGAGGAAAACGGCGCCATTGTAGATAAAAAGGAAAATTAATATATTTAACACATAAATTATATAAAATGCAACTGTAAACCCTGACGAAGTCGGTCTTTCATGTTTACACGGAGAAGCACTTAGTCCACAAAAACTACTCGCTGTCCCATCTATTAACACCTGGCCTGTAGTGCCTGTGGCCTGTGGTGCCGTTTCCACCATTTTCTGACCTGCCCGGCCGTTCAAAAGCGAGGTATTATTTATGGAAGGGGAATTCCCAAATGACGTCATCATAGCGCATGCGCATTATAAGAAAACATTAAAGTCGGGTTTAGTTGCTAGTGGAGATCCTCAGAAGACTGCAGAGAGTTATCTTTAACCATCTCATGGTGAGTTAAACATGGCTTATTTTTTAAATTTTATAACATATGATATAAGCTACGATGTAGAGCAAAGTTTGCTCAAACATTACCATACCGTAACCACATTTGCACTAGACTGCTGACATCAACTACATGTACATGTATTGTATTATGTCCTTCTCTCTTCAGTCTCTTTCTAAGCGACCTACCTAATATTTTTTGATGTTTATAAAGAAAATGACCCTGCCTATTTAAATAACAAACCTGTAAGCTGCCTCATGTACGCTGAGGACCTGGTCCTCATCTCAAAAAGGGCCGTAGGACTACAACACTCCCTAAACCTACTCCACAATTACTGCGCCAAATGGAAACTTATCATCAATATATAGCAAAAACCAAAATCATGATATTTAATAAGGCTGGCCACCTCTTGAAAACCAACCAATTTAAGTTAGGCACAAATCCGGTAGAAATTACCTCCAAATATTGTTACCTCGGTCTGACCTTCACTCCATCTGGCAAATTCACCAAGGCTATGGAGTATCTTAAAAATAAAGCACTCAAAGCATTTTTCAAATTAAGAAATCAGCTATTTCCAGCGCCCACTAAAATTGCCTAAAAGTTATTCAAATCACTCCTACTTCCAGTCCTTATAGCTATGGGTGCGAAACTTGGGCCCCTTACTTACTACGTAATTTAATATGACCATTGAAAATTTTTTAAATATATGCGAAAAGCCCCCTGCTGAACTCGTCCACCTAAAAACCTGTAAAACAATATTAGGGATTAACAAAAACTCTCCTAATCACGCCGCAGGTGGTGAGCCAGGCAGCTTCCCCATTCTCATCCACTTACTGTCACTATCCATCAAATATTGGTGCCACCTGTACAAGATCATATACAATGGTCAGTCTACTTTAGTCACTGATGCTCTGATTGAGAACAGGTCCTTATCCTCATCTGGTGTGTTTACATGGTCCTCTGGTATAAAAACTGTTCTTAACATGAACAACCTGGGAAAGATATGGACAAATCCAGTTTCAATACCTGCTAAGATAGCTCAGGCCCTGACCAAAAAGTCTCTGCACTCTGTATATCAGGACCAGTGGGCTACATTGATGAGCAGAACGGGTAGTGATAATAAACTAAGAACCCATGTTGAATTTAAGAAGGAATTTGTGTGTTAAAATTACACCCACATATGGCCCCAGAAAATAACTTCTGCAAATTACGTGTGAGCGCCCACAATCTCTCTATTGAATGGGGCAGGTACTGCAAGCCAAAAATCCCTGCAGAGTTGAGATTTTGTAAACTTTGTGATTCAAATAAAGTAGAAGATGACTTCCACCTCCTGCTAGAGTGCAAACCATATGATTCAATATGTGATCCCTTCAGAGGGATACCCCTAGGCGACCTCAGCAATAATGAACTGTTTAATTTTCTTATGGGTGCTCAGGACATAGATATTCTTAGAATGGTTGTGTGTGTTGTAAATAGATGCTTCCAACAAAGAGAACAGGTCCTCTCTTAATACATTGTACTCTTTCCAGTGTATTTATTCAAATTCATCACCTATAGATTATCATTATACATTTCATATATATATCTTTTTTTATAAACTAACTTATTGGTATTGTTCTACATGTAAACATTGAAGTCATATATATTTATTCATTTACTTGTTTGTACTGTTATAGTTAGATGTAATGTCTTTGATTGTACCTTATTTGTGAAGGTGTATCAATAAAGAATCCCAGGACATGTATCTAGTAAATGTCCATTTATAGTGGCCTTGGTAACAGTTACAAGAGGGTGCAAATCAGAAGTGTTCAACCACTAACCCCTTATTAGGTGATAGGCACGTGTGGCTGTGTTTGATCCCCTGCTGGGAAGGAGTAGGGACCTCTTTCGTCTGATAGTAATCACACTTAAATGTCTTCTAGTTTGCGGCTAAGTGTCGTTTGCACTGTCTTCAAGAATTATATATCATTATTTTTATTGTTGACATTGCTGTTGTTATTCTTTCAGCACAATCTTTACTCCTTGCAGACACCTGTTTAAAGATTGACATTCTACTGGTACCTGAACTCGCTGCGCCATCTATCATCCACTGCTCTGTGATGCTGTTTTGTTTCTCGTGGCCTATGGTGTCGTTACTGCCAATTTGTGTCATGTCCAGTCCTTTCTCCTAAGCAAGTCAGTGTTATATGTGATAAACAAGCGCCATTTTCCTTACTGTTACCAGGTAGTAACAGGACAGAGATTGTGAGAAAATGCTAAACATATCTGACAAAGAAAGAGATATGATCCGACCGACTAATTGTAGGTATATGGAGCAAGTGTTTTGTTACTGTGATCTCCAAGCTGCAGCACCAGAAGTGAACACAAAGCTAAGCTTTCGCTGACACTTTTATTGTGACTGAGAAATTGAACGATATACTTTCGAAATGGAAGCCATGTTAGGGCAGTCTAGACGAGGTGTAAATCCAAGTTCAGGACAGGTGACAGTACAGACACAACCTCCATTAGCTGGACAGGAAACAAATCCAACATCAGCTCCAAATCATCTTGTATTCTTAGAGAAGGCAGAATGTGTGCATTCCTTCAGTGCTGTAAAACAGACAGATGAGAGAAGAATTGGCATATATGGGCTAGCCGTAGATAAGGAACACTTGTTCATTGTGGATAATGAACATGACAGAACAAAAGTATTCACGCATAAAGGGCAGTTTAAGTTTGACATTGAAGTAAAAATTCCATATGATGTGGCTGTGTCACAGACTGGTCACCTGTATATAACATCTAGGGGTGACAGATGTGTCCAAGTGTACTCCACCAGAGGTCAGCAGGTGACAACCATGGGTCAGGGTCTACTGGAGGATCCACGGGGTATTACACTGAACAGAAAAGGTCATGTGATGGTTTGTGACATGAGAAAGAAATCCATCTTCACATTCCATGCAGACAGTGGACAGCTCCTGAACACTATTTCCCTCAGTATGTGTGAGGAACCAGAGTATATCACAGTAAGCAGTTTGAATGAGAACATTGTGATACAAGACTGGTTGGGACAATGTGTACTTGTGCTGTCACCTACTGGTGATCATCTGTACCAGTGTTTCACAAGAGAAGGCAGTGCTGATGATGAGCCGAGATTACCACATGGAGTGTGCACAGACAGCTATGGTCACATCTTCTATGCCGACATGGATAACCACAGTATAGTGGCACTGAGTCCAAAGGGACAGTTTATCAGATACATTGTCACTAAGGATGATGGGTTGAAGAATCCCAATTCAGTAGAAATCAGCCCTGCTGGCCAAATGGTGGTGGGAGAAAGAAATGGTGCTGTGAAGAAATTCAAGTATGTTCAACAGAAAGGAGGTGAGAAAAATGTATCAATTGTGGACTGATATTATTATTATTATTATTATTATTATTATTATTAAATATTTTGTAATTTTACCAGTTTTTCTACCCTCTACCAGGGCGACAGATAGATTTTTTACAGATGTTCACAGATATGTGTCTAGATCTAAAGCTATATAGATAGACGGTCATTTTGGTCTGTAGAGGGTACAGTTTTTCAATGGTTTTAACCATAAATATATTTGCTTCTATTTCAGTTTTAACATTTTAAGCATGAAATCATTTTCCACACAGCTAGGTGTTAGTAAAACTGTATGTAGAGAGAAACTTGTATAGTGAATACGGTAATTCTTCAATCTTTACGATGGGGAAAATGATTGTCTTGCCGGAAAATTCATTTCCTTCGATTAGCATTTTACGTGTAACGGTGCATTTTAGATGGTATGCCACTGATAACTGCCATGTTAAACTATCAAAACTATTTCCAAAAGGGACACAAATATAATTATACAGGGAAGGAACCAGGATTATTTAAAGGGGAGGGGGGGGGTGGACTTTTCAGGAATGACAAGCCTCTGATGCAAAGCCAACCCTTGGCCCCTTGGAATGTTTTGGAGGGCAAACAGTGCCACTGGGAACAGATAAGAACTATAAATTAGCTAGTCAAAATTCTAATTCCAGGAGGGGAATATCAGTGTTATTTTTTTTCAGAAACCGAAGGGGGAGGGGGGTGTCAGGACCGCCCTGACCCCCCACCCCCACCCCCTCTATTCCGCCACTGTTATATAACTGTTTTTACACAAATTTACAAGGCATGATGACTTAGGAGGTTTATTTTTTGTGACAATCTTTTAACCTGGAACCAGCTATTGGAATGACGGGTGAACAATCCCGTAGTGCATTATTTATTGAACATAACATTTTACTCATTCTCATAGCAACGCTTATTTTACTCTCCCCTTGTGGTTTTTTTATAGGCATGCCTTTATATCTGGTATATTTCATTTTAAATATCCAGTCTGTATTTGAAACAATATTGTGACATTTATTTGGGTTTTGTATCAAAACTATGACTTAAAATGCAGCTTTAATGTTTCAGATCAGTTTTCAGAGGAAATCAATAGACAAGACCCACTACTGCAAGAAGCATATCAACGAGCATGTAAGGATGGCTTTGAAAGAGTGAACAGGGCAAGGGTGATGCTGCTAGGCCATTACGGTGCAGGTAAAACACGCCTGAGAAAGCGGCTACTCGGACAAGAATATGATGAAGAGAATGATCCAATCACTAATGGTATAGAAACTGACTACGTTCTTGTAAAGGAGGGTTGGAATTCAGATGAAGCTGGTAAGAATAACTGTAGCAATTCAGACAGAAAAAAATGTTTCAATATCAAAATTAATTTATCACCTAAATCTTAATTTTAATGGACAATTTAAGGACACTTCTTTTAATAACTCCTTGTTTATCATTTATTTGCAGTAATCTTAATATTCAGCATATATTTTCTACTTGTTCATCATTTCATGTGCCTTTGTATATAAATATGTATTTCATGACAAATAATAAAATGTTTAAATCTGTAGAGTGTCATGGGCCAGCAATATCACATTTGCTTGCTGTTAACACAAGAAAGATACACGGGGAAATCCGGGCAAGTCATGCAGGTACGGTAGTATGTGTACAATTATCTACTAGAACTAGAACATGTATTGGTAATAGTGCCTTGATGATTAACTGCAGAAACATTTTGCTAATTTGAAACAAGAAATAGTAAATCAAAAAAGAATATATATATATATATATACAATGTAAGATAATATTAAAAATACGATGAAATGCATATATTCTTGGAATCCTTTTAATGAACATTGAATTAATTTGAATTTTTGAATGAATTACTGTAGAGCTAAAAGGTGGTCAAGTTGTGGAGGCAACTAATGCACCAACATCAGAGAAAGTGGAGAAATGTAAGTACTCTGAGATGTAGTGGTAAATAACTTGCAGGAACATGAGTTAGCTGAAGTCAAAAGTTCCTATACCGTCCTAAAATGTCATCCTGAAGTTCTCTGTAGAAGAACCCCAATTGTGATGGTCTCTTTGTGTCAGGATGCCTTTTTAGAAATAATCCTTAGTCTGTTTCCATTTTATTTATTTATTTATTTATTTATTTATTTATTTATTTATTAAGTTTTATATTTATTTATTTATTTATTTATTTTTTGTTGGTTAGATAACTATTGCACAATAACCCACTTTTGGTGGGAACGGTAGTGATGGATCAAAATGCATACTGATTGTAACAAAAAACACTGAATCAGTAATTTACCAACATCACCTTATCTTGTTATATCAATGTTGTACATACATTACTATTTTACTTTTTCTCTTGACAAGCTTCATCAAAGCCTCCAGAAAAGCAGTCTGGTGTTATTCAAGAGGAAATTATAACAGGTATATGAAATAATGAGTGTTCGCTAATCAAACATTTTACAAAAACAAAAAAAAGAAATCCATGCAAATACATTAAAAATGCAGCATATGAGAATTATGACATAGTGTAAGGATAAGAAGTTGCATAGTTATCTGAGATATTTATCTTATAGGTTTTGGTGGATTATGCATAAAGATGCACACACTGCACAAGAATGAATGGAAGAGACCCAAAAGTGGTGCTTAAATTGCAATGTTTATGATTTCTTTAAGATGTTTCTCTCTTTTTATGGCAAGTTGCTCCAAAGCCTGAAAATGAGATAACTTCATCGACAGAAAGACACATTTTAGTATCACAAGAGAAGGAAAGGGGTACTACAGTAGTTTTTTCACATCTTAGACTTCAGATTGATCTAGCCCTGACTGGAGTCTCACTAGATTACTGTCAGCTTAGCCGGCTTAAGCGTCTGTCCCGCCTACTAAACGCTGTAAGGGGGTAATTAACTATGATCCTCGCTCAGCTGACTGCAATTTAGCGTGAACCCCCAGGGAATTAGGTTGATCTAAATTTAAATCTCTGGAGCGATCTAAATCTCTGGGAATGCACCCTTAGAAATGTGTTGCAATTGTCTTAGTCCATAATTAACTGCCATCAACATGCAATGACAGATCAGGCTCCTCAGTTGTTCAAGTAATACATAATATAAATAAGAACATTGGCAGCACATCAACATGTAAAACCTTGTAGTTCATACAACTATATGATTAAATTTTTGTGTATTCATTTCAATACTGAAATATGTAAACTGTGTACATTTATATTTTTAGAACATCAGCCCAGCCCTAGTAGTTCCAAGGAGGCTTTGTCCTATTTAAAAACAGAGGAGAGTATGGAGCTCCCGCCTGATGTCTTAACACATTTGACAGAAAGCTCGTACGACATTGAAAATCCACCAGCTCGTCTAGCAGTCTGGGATTTTGGAGGGCAAAGTGTGTATTACAACACCCACCACACATTCCTTTCTTCCAGAGCTATTTACATTCTTGCCATTGATATGAGCCTTGCTTTAACAGACAGGCTTGACGACCAATGGCATGGTGCTGAACACTTCTCAGGAACTATTCTTGGTAAGGCATCCACCAGCTCACAATTGTTAATCATTTAGTTTATAATTTACAATCAGTTGTACTCAGTGTTTTAATGGAAAGGGTTCATAAAACTAGTTTACTGCTAATTGTTTTGTTATATACCAGCTAGCAGGTTGGACAAGTGTTATGGCGGAAAGGGTTCATAAAATCATATGAAATATCAATTGTAGTTAAAAAGAGTCGACAATAATGATCTGAAATAGAATCATTTCATTTCTTAGAATACTCATAATTCATCAATTTAATCAGACAGCTTTCTATACTCAAGCAGATCAAACAGCAAAAAATGATAGTAAAGGACCTTTTGAAATTTGTCTGATATATTTCCAGACTTCACTGATTATTGGATAGACGCAATCCATACTTATGCACTACGGCAAGACATGAGTGAAGATGGGATTTTGTCCCCCCGAATAATCATCGCTTGCACGCATAAAGACAAATACCTGGAAAATGTTCCCATAGAAAGGGTAGGTATAAGTACTGATGAAAATTGAATGAAAATTGAGTTTGCACTGTTTTAATAAATCAGCTATAACATATTACTTAATGAAATGTGATTGAAGCTTGCAATTTTAAAAGTATTTGTTTCTCCTATTCTTTTACAGCATGAAGAAGAAATAAATGCGTACTTTGGGAAATTGCGGCAGCATATACAACAGAAGAGAAGTGGTGTGCATGTTGATCCTCGTTTCTTTGCAATTGACAACACATGTCAAGATGAAGATCCTGAAATATCTGATCTCCGTCAATATGTTATGAAAATTGCTGAAAGCCAAAAATGTTGGGGAGAGAAGAATCCAATTAGATGGATTAGATTAGAAGAAGAGCTTCAGCTACGACGACCACCTGAGAAACGAGGAAAAAAGTGGATAAGGTATGAGGAGCTGCAAAATTTAGCTCTTAAAGTTGGAATGCAGGATGCCATTGAGCTGAAGTCATTCCTCCAGTTCCATCATGACATTGGAGATCTTATGCACTTTCAGACTGATGATCTCTCAGACACTGTCATTTTGAATCCAACATGGCTGATAGATGCATTCAGGTCTATTATAGCAGTTGATAAACACCATGTCAAAACCAAAGGGACTCCATATTGGTCTGCATTAAAGAGGGGCATCTTAGATGAAAGACTTTTGGATGAGCTATGGGGAGTTGACAGCGAGTTGAAGCCCATTGTAATTGGTGTTATGGTACAATTCAACATTCTGTTGGAACAGGACGTCAAGCCAGGTACAACAGAAAAGCCTACTTCTCGACAGTTCTATGTGCCCAGCTTACTCCAGATATGCAAGAATCCAGAATCTGGGGTTGGCAGTGAAGGAACACTATTTATACAAGGGAAAGAGAACTTTATGCCACATTTGCTGTTTAATCGGCTTACATCGAAATTAGTCCAAAATGACACATCTCCAGCTAGGAAAGGTTTAAGAAGAAGAGGTGACTTTTTCCTCATTAAAAATGAGCTGTACTATGATTATGCTGTATATGCAATTGATCCACGCAGAGGAGCACGTTGTGCTTTGAGAAAGACAACAAAATCCTCTTGCATCGAACTGATTCCCTTATATCCTTCGAAGACAAAGTTTGACAGAACAATCCGAGGGGCATATGCTAAGTGGAAGAACCATGTTTTGATGCAAATTCAGCAAGTTAAGCAGACTGTCAGCCCACATTTGCAGCTCAAATGGTGTGTCAGGGACCCAAGAAAGCCAAAGGTCAGAGAGGAGCTGATGGTAATAGATCCGAAGGAGACTGATCTGACAACCTGTGGGTTGCCAGAGGATTCAGTGTACAGACTGTGGTTTATGCCAGGCTCAAGTGAGAAGGTAAGTCATGTAAATATGTAATGGGAGTGCACCTCAGTGATAACTTGTACTGTGTACATGAATATTACGTGTATCTTTGTGAAATGCATTTGTTTTGTAAATAAATAGATAAGCTAAGTATCTGTTCACTGGGTTTCTTTTATTTAACAGGAGCATAGTGTTACCCCACCTGCCAAGACATTATCAAGTGTTGCTGGAGGTAAATTATCAAAGAACTTTACATACTCATGAAATATAAATTTGAAAAAATCATTTTAAGTTACTGATTTTCTGTATCATGTTGTTTGAAAATCCCTTGATACCTTGGTTTTCATACTTGGATTTTCCACGGTGTAATTTTTTTCTTCTTCTAGTTTGCACTATTTTTATGAACAGACACTCTGAGTGGAAAACCATGTAGACTTTTGTCTTTTAAACTGCAGAACTGATGGATATTAGTAAAATAAAGGTCCATTTCCAAAATAGTCTTGATCAAATCATTCTTCCAAAATTGATGCATGTTTATTTCAGCATATGTTGAACTATATGCAATACAGCTAACACTTTTCAAGTAAGACTGATAAGCCTACTATGCAGCCAGATTTGGAAAAGCAGTCTGATTGCTTAATTTTTCTATAATTTTTTTCTTTGAAACTTTAAAGGGATAATAACTCTTCGTATGAGATCTATATTTCACAATAAAAACATTGTGAATAACTCATAGAAATATAATATATTCTGTTTTATGACAAAAACAGCAGTTATAGCTATTATTCTGATATCTGAGCTTGTCTTCAGATCACGTGACCTCCATTGTTGGCTATACTCTGTTATAGTCTCTTAAGAGATTTTAACAAAAAAAACAAACTTTTTAGAAAAAAAAAACAGGGACTAACTTTGAATGTAAAAATGGATTCATTAACCATTGGTAAGTAAGGGAAAATTGTTGTTTACTCCAGGAAAATTCATTTTTTGGCCAAAAAAGAGTTATTATTGCTTTAATTTTTCACACTTTAGCATTTTCAAGGTGTGTCTTGGAACCTCCATATGCTTGAAAACCTTTGCTAGTCATATTTTCTTAATATGTATCTTACCTGCAGTAGATAAATAAAATTGGTGGTGATTATGCTGTTAAGCATCATGTAATATTGCATCAAAATCAAAGAAAACCTTTGTAAAAACCATGTTACTTTTGATTCTTAAACTTAAAAAAAAGGAATACAGTTCTCAAATAATGCAGCCTGATTTTTTTTTTTTTTTTCTTTTTGAAATTTTCATTTTTCATATTTTGGCATTTTCATTGTGGGATTTAGAACCCCCACAGGCATGGAACCAAATGGTAACCAAATTTTCTAAATGTTTTTCATATTGGAAAACTAAAAATTGATGGCTATTATACCATTTATCATTATGTTATATTGCATCAAAATTGAAAAAAAAAACTTTGTGTACTGCCACCACATATGTTATGAAAAGAAAATTGTCACTTGTTATTTTTTAACCTACAAGAATTATTCTTAGGATTGGCATACAGCTCAAATTAGAAAACCATCTCTGTTGGATTAATGAGACATTCCAGAATATTTGATTTATGAAGTCAAGGTAATTGACCATTTGGTTGAATGAAAGAATCAGCTTTTGTGTAATTTTACAATTAAATATACGGTATGATATTATGTTTTGGTTTCAGTTATTTTATATTGTGTATACCTCTTTAGTATCTATAAATTACTCCTCAGCAAATCTATTTCTTCGAAATCCAAGTGAAATATAATGAAAAGGTATAAAAAGGAATACTTAATTTATATCTTAATTTGCATATATTTTGCTTTTCAATGCAAAGATTTGCTTGCATCCAGCAAGGCGCTGTACCCAAATTGAAGTTTACGATAAAGTGTAAAAATGACCAGTCCTCACAAACTACTTAACTGGCTTGTTATATTTCTTTCCTAGGATGGGCTTAGGAGTGAAATGGAGTATAAGAAACTTAGACAGAATGGGATCCAATTTGCTGAGGCACTTAATATTGATATTGGAAGAATTTTAGATTACTGTAATCAAGATGCCATGGTACCAGATCATGAGATTACAGTGCTTGAAATTAATGCCAGAAAAAAAAAAATCCACAAAGTGCCTGTACAAAGACCATTGCAAGCAACCCTGAAAAACAACCAATTAGATATTTGAAACACGTCCTCAGACAATGCCAACATTGGCGTCTGGCAGATGAAGTTAGCTACCAGGATGTAGAGGATGAGATTACCAGGATGTAGAGGATGAGATTACCAGGATGTAGAGGATGAGACTACCAGGATGTAGAGGATGAGGTTACCAGGATGTAGAGGATGAGATTACCAGGATGTAGAGGATGAGATTACCAGGATGTAGAGGATGAGATTAGAGATTACAGAATCATGGAGTAGGAGGTATCTTGTGAAGAGCCATTGGCAAAAGGGATGGAAGATTCCTTACTTGTGTGAGAGGCTTTTTTATGCACTTTGGGTCAACAAGGACTAAGAACCTATGGTCTATTACCATAGATATTGACATCAGATGAATATATATTTATATATATATATATATAGTGAATCGAAAGGAGGGTCAGGACCCCCTGACACCCCCCAAATCCACCACTGGGAAGATGTTTCAATATGTAACATATGATATAATACACTCAGTTTTCACTGTCATAGTTTAATAATTTATTGTGTTTGTATATAGGTTCATTAATTATGTTGTTATTATTCAAGGTGGATGTTTTAATATGTAACATTATATTAAATTTGCAAGAGCATTGGATATATGTAAAAATATGCACTTTATGTAGTTATATTCCCTCAAAGATGTCAACAACACATAAATATGCAAAGAAGTTTCAGTATGTGATATGTAAGATATGAAATACTGGATTCTCATTCAGGGTAATGTAACCTCTGTAAAATTATATTTCTAAAACCATTGTATATGTGTAAAAAGTATAAATATGTACTTGATGTAAATATATTTACTCAAAGATGCCAATATATATATAAGTACATAGAAATTATCTAAGCAAAATTACATTCAAACTGCATTCAGCATAAAGTAATTGACTACTGACCAACTGAAACAGCACTATCTATCTATCTATTTATCTATATCTCTCTCTATATATATATATCAGTACATAGAAATTATCTAGCAAAATTCCATTCAAACTGCATTCAGCATAAAGTAATCGACTACTGACCAACTGAAACAGCACTATCTACACCCCAGAGTCAAGCTGTATGTACACCTGATCCACATTAAGTTACAGCTGTTGGAGCCCGTTCAGAATAGAATATCCAAGTATCAACTGGTCCAAGCTCAAATATGGCAGACCCTACATGAAAGGAAGACCGCTTAAGCCTGTAGTGGTCTCTCCACCTCTTTCACGCCTCCCCACTCATCCTCCCTGCAGGGGCACAGTAACTGTAATTAAATTTCGGTTCAATTCGACCGGTTGAGGGACGACGCATAGGGAGGCATGTGAGAGGCGGAGAGATCATTACAGGATTAACCGGCCTTCCTTTCATGTAGGTCCGCCATATTTAGGCCGTGGACCAGCTAGCACTTGGCTCTTCTCATTCTGAAAGCCCCCTTAGAAATCTTGATCTAACTGGTGAATTTTATGTCTTACGGTTCAATTTATTATGCCAACGAATAAAGGGGCATATATGCACAAGGTGAATGTTACGTTGTCTTGTACGTGCAATGTGCACGGATTCAGGCCTTAACTGGGGATGCAAGAATATTTTCTCATCCCACACATCCAGACAAAAATAAAATTTAAAAATACGTTTACTCTTTCCCAGTAATGCTTAGGGCACAATGGTGGTAAAAATCTTCGGAATGCCTTGTTTTTGTGAGACTTAAAAGTCTAGACTTGTGTGGAGTAGATAGTCGACTATTACGTCCAATCAAGTGACCAGGGCTTAAAAAGATACACAGTATTCCAGGCCCCAATTAACAACGTGCCAGAACATGCTGTCTTATAGGCAGGGAGTGACTTTATTACATGAATTCCCAGAAACCAATTTCTTGGAAAATATGTCTGCGGATATATCACTTATCATACATTACCACCATGTTAGTAAATTGAACCCTTAATTACGCCTTCTACTTCTGAAAAAAAAAACAATTCGCATGTCCATTTATTTCTCTTTTATTTTGGTATTTGATTGATAGCGCAGGCGTAATACAGTACCCCGTACAGCGCCAGCCTCGGACGCTATTTTACTTTACATGTTGTGTATGCTATTTTTTTAACCTGATCCTTCCCGAAATGCGGCATTGCATGTCCCCAAGGGTGTTGTAAACCTTTATTATCATCCAGATGCCAAAAATGAGTTGGGTTTTTTTTCCTGCGCCTAATAACTCAATAATGCATTTATTTTTGAGCTGATTTAAAACAATAAAAATACCCTCGAAAATATAAAATATCGGCGTTTATATTTTTCGTTGCGATGTATAAGGGTGAGTGCTAAGCTAACGTAGAAATTTGAAAAACAGATTTTTTAAAAATTTAACTCCAAAATCGCAATTATGTCTTCCCCCGTAAGATGGCTTGTGCGTCAATGATACTTACGGGATAATAACTCTTCGTATGAGGTCCATATTTCACAATAAAAACATTGTGAACAACTCAGAAATATAATATATTCTGTATGCGACAAAAACAGCAGTTATAGCTATTATTCTGATATCTGAGCTTGTCTTCAGAATACATGACCTCCATTGATGGCTATACTCTGTTATAATCTCTTAAGAGATTTTAACAAAAAACCAAACTTTTTAGAAAAAAACCAGGGACTAACTCTGAATGTAAAAATGGATTCATTAACCATTGGTAAGTATGGGAAAATTGTTGTTTACAGCAGGAAAATTCATTTTTTGGCCAAAACGAAGAGTTATTATCCCTTTAATTAAGTCACTGAACGCTAAAGATTTATCTGCATTACAAAAGAATGTATGTAGGTCAATAAATAAAGGTTAACAATATCCTTCATCATTGGTTCGTAGACGTCATTTGTTTTGAGGGTCCTTCACTGTTATGAACGCCAGCTGCGCTGTTTGCGTTTAATATGAAGCACAAGTAATAGCCTCAACGCGAGATCTGAAAAGGGAAACTATTTCAGGGGCGTAACCAGACCTTTAAAAATTGTACGCACAGATTTTTAAAATTCCCAGCAAAATGTAGACAGCATATGTACCACACATCGCAGCTTAATTTCCATTAATAATAAAATCATCATTTAGTCAGAAATATTCTCGCAATTAATATTCTTACTACCCAGAACGGTATATTTATTTAAAAGGAGGCTAGCTTCGCATATGTGGAACCCCTTCGAATAATCCTGGATCCACCTCTGAGTTGAACTAACATACGGTTTCATTCACCTTACATGCGGATGCATGGCTTCCAAAAACAACCAATTGTACGACACGACAGAGCTCTGATACATCTAAGTTTATTATTTGTTTGTAAAAATTGCCCATGTCACCCTGTTACTTTTGGAGAGGTAAGCTGGGTCAAGTCCGTGTCAAAATTCTTTGAAGCTTTGCAGGAAAAATTCTTCCTTTGTTTCTCTAGCTCCTTCTTAAACCTGGTGTCCAGATTTTATCTAGTGCCCCAAGGGTTGCGGGAGCTGCTCTTTGAAAATAACAATCAGGCAGATTTTTACCTGAGATAAATATCGCCAGCGAGAATGCGTACGATATTCTCAAGAAAGAGGGTACAGAAGAGTTGAGGGCCACTGAACCCTCCAATTAAGAGGTAAAGGAAGTTCCAGTTAGATGGACGATTAAGATAGGACTTGTTAAGGTTACAGGCATTGTTTACTTCAGTTTGCAAGACGGGAGGGGGGCAGAACAATTGTGCCTATACAATTGATACAGAGGATTTGTACATACAGGTGACTTTCATAAGCAGAGGATTTTCTTTTATATTCCGTGAAAAATACACTAAATTTATATAAAATAATATCATGGTTGGCCAAAAAATTGTACGCACAGTGCATCCGTGCGTATTCCTAGTTACGCCCATGTATTTTGTACAAAAACCAGCAAAGGTATTTTTTCCGGTTGAATGCGGTTAACAGAAACTAGTTTTGACGGCTTTGTTTGGCATTTTGCTTTACATATTTATTGTTATAATGAATATCTTTTTATTCAGGCGAGTAGAAAGAAAATAGGTTGGAGGTTAATCATTCAGGAAATATATAAGACGGGGTGGGGGAAATCCATGTAGTCACCCGCTCACTGTGCTTATTATATGACTGGCGTGACTGAATAAAAGCAAGGGGGTACTCCCCTCTCCCCCCACCCCTTCGGGCTTCAGCTCATGAGAATAATAAGCAATTTTTTCATCCCCGTTGTCTACGTATTACAGCAACATTGTCTTCGTCTGCTGCTGTCACTTATGACCCCCTCACAAGCTGCGCTACATATGTACTTATATAAAGCAGAAACGTTTTATTTTTGTGACTAATAAGGAATAGCATTGCCTCGTGAACATGTATGTCACCAAAAGATTCACTGATTGTAAACACCTTTAAGACATGAATAATAAAAGATAAGTATTAATCAAACTAAATTAGACAAAATACATGTAAAATAAATAAAATTACACAGAGTATAGAAGAAGCATAATTTTTAAGGCTTTTAAAATATAAGACACTATGCCTTGGAAAGCTGAGACGCTGAAAAATTGGATGTGGAGGTAATTATCGCCGTGCATGCATCACACCATTGGTTGTTCAGATTACAAGTGCGACTTATCACCACTTAGTAACAATGTATTGTGCTGTATAAAATTGACATCTTCTTTGTATACACTGTATGGTACAGACGTGGTGGACTATTGGATGATGTACATGTACCTGTCGGTTTCTACGTATACGGGAAAGTGTGAAATGAGAAATTTAGTTGAACAGAGGAGACTGAGTGATATTTAACAAAGTCCCGATGCTAGAATCTGGCATGGCGTAAAACGGGAGCATTTTAGCAACAAAGGGGTTACAGAGGCCGTCTTTTTCCAAAATAATGGAGATGTAGGATAAAAATAATACTAAGCATGGAGTAAAATGAAAGTTGTTTAACAACAGAGGGGTTTATACAGGCAAACTTTATCAAACTCCCAAAGCTGCGTTAAGGAATATGCCTAAAAATGGATTAGGTTGAATAGGACGGGCTGGCTGTGAACACAGTAACCGTATGAGGATGTCTATCTCAGGCAAGTAGCCACACAAATCGAAATATTGCTTAAAATGAAGTAAAATTCCACAATTTTGTGGCGCCAATTGATGCCCATCTGTGAAAATGCAAGTAACTTGTAACCGAATCATAATCATGACGTAGAAAAATAAATGATTCCTTCATATGTAATGCATTCAATGGAATTTCTCGCTCAGTCCAAGTGATAAAACGCTATCATGGCTAGTAACACATCCAGTCTAGAGGACTTATCTGTGTACATAAACAATCTCGTTAATGTACAGAACTCTTCTTTGAGAAATTCCACCAACTTTCCATTAGAGCTGCGTGTGGTCAACTGTAGTATTATGTTACTATCCATCATGGTGGGAATACCTGGAAGCATGTGCGTAATTCTAACAATAGCAAAGAAACGCCTATTCTGGACGCATGTTAACATACTGGTAGCCTGCACCTCATTAATGGACATTCTTCAATGTATCTTCGGGACACCACTTCACGTACATAGAAACCTCTGGAACCACAGAGCTCTGGACCCGAGAGACTGCCACGTGCTGTCGTTAGTTACCGTTTTCACGAATGTGACCAATGTCTGCCTGTTCGGTGCCATTTCTGTACTGCGTTTGATGCAGTTCGTTACAGAGCATCCCATACAGCGGAGGCAACTATTCAAATGGCTTACATTCAGCAGCATTGCCGTCAGCGCGGCTGTAGGGCTGGCATTGGCCATAGCTGCCACTTTCTATTCAAAAGCTCTTATTTATATATGTACCGACGACGACAGGCAGTATTTTCCCAACACGGAAGAGGTCGTTACCTACAAGTTATTCCTCCCCGTATTTGGCCTAAGCGCCCTCTTAATCCTAGGGTCTTACCTCGGTATATACTGCCACGTTAGGAAGTATTCGCGAGTGACACACTCTGCAGTGGAGACGCACGAAGGCCATGGGCAAGATCCCAATGAAATCATCTACCTGCAGGCGATTCTGCCAAGTGATGCTCAGGGCCAGAGTGGTGGAGGGCATCAGAGTAATGACCTCGAACAGCTGGGGGCACAGCCAACAGGATTTCAAGCTGTTCACCAGGGGGCGGACAAAACTATGCCGCTGGAGGAGCCGGTGTCTCAGAGAAGATTGCCCGATGCCCAGCAGGTGCCCGATGTCCAGCAGGTGCCCGATGTCCAACAGGTGCCCGTTGTCCAGCAGGTGCCCGATGTCCAGCAGGTGCCCGATGACCATCAGTTGCCCAGTGTCCAGCAAGTGCCCGATGTCCATCAGGTGCCGCAGCAGAGAAATGAC